ATCTGTATCTGTATCTGTATCTGTATCTGTATCTGTATCTGTATCTGTATCTGTATCTGTATCTGTATCTGTATCTGTATCTGTATCTGTATCTGTATCTGTATCTGTATCTGTATCTGTATCTGTATCTGTATCTGTATCTGCATCTGTATCTGTATCTGTATCTGTATCTGTATCTGTATCTGTATCTGTATCTTGGCTCTTGCCCTTTGGTTTCTTTTTGCACCTAGGCACCCATCAGCTAACCCAAGCCAAGCCAAGCCAAGCCAAGCCAAGCCAAAAATAGACACAAAGCCAAAGCTGATGAGGTCTGAGGGCTGACATCTGATGATATTGTAGATCTTTCATTTTTTTCTCTCTTTCATTTCCTTTTGAACAATGAGATAAATTTTGATCATCTGTATTTTGAACATGCAGCTTATTTGCCAATAAATACTGATACTATTTTATCTTTGTACTTGCTACTGTAATGTAGTTTCTGAAGGTGTACAGTTGCATTACAGTTTCCATATATTCATGTTGATATTATATGGTCTCATACTTCTGTTATCTTGTTTCTTTCTGTTCTTCTATTGCAAACAGTGCCATATTTTTTTACAAAAAGCTGTAGGTGGTAAAAAAAATTAAGATTCAAATGTATGAGTGCTTCTTAATATGATTTATTCATTACTTATTTCCACCAAATTTTTTATTTAACATTCAATATGTTTCTTCATAGAGGCAGCAAGAGAGCATTTGACTACATTAAAATTACAAACCCTGTATTCATAATGAATTTGGTATAAATTTTGACAACTGGCATAAGCTAAGACTGGATGGAGTCAGGCAGCTTAGGTGCTAATTTGCAGCCTGACAAGTTTTGACATGACAAGAGTCTAAATTCTGTTTGCTTTTATACACATAACCTACTGGAGTCAATGGAGAAAGTGAGACAGATTTTTGACTTGACAACTTTTAACATCAATAAAATTCTCACTCAGGAATTCTTACTCAACATGTTGTATTTCTAATGGGTGCTCTTACTGAATTCAACAGGCTTTGATTCAAGCAGCGTTCAATTTCTGTACGAAGTGAAAAGCAAATGAAAAAAACCCAAACCATAGTAGGTTAGATATAATACTTGGACAGAAAATCTGGTCTTGGTAGAAGCCCCAAGAAAAAAAAACACATTAATATCACGCCATCTAGTCTGAAAAAATTGAGTCTTGAATAGAGTTATCATCATCTTGTGATGATAATTTGACATCACTACAGGACTGAATTAAAAGTATTTAAGTGTTTCTTTTAACTACAGTGCTGAATTTCATGGGGTTTTGATATTTGATTTGAGGATAATTGCAACATCTATGAATACTTTTTCAATTTAAGTTAATGATGTGCTCTTATTTTTAATTGATTGTTTTATCCCTTCTGAGAATATTAAATGAGTTGTATGTAGGGTATGTTGAGATTCATTGATATCATTGAAACAATTTTTTCAGTATGCTTTGTCTGCATCTATTGTAAATACTTTTAAATCATGTAGAAAAATGTTTAATTAAAAATCTTTTGGTTCCCTTTTCAAATTATAGTATTATTATCCTAGCTTTCCAAGCATGGTCCTTGAAGCAGAGTTACAGGGGGAGTATGTGATCTGTTTTCCTCCTGTGGAGTGCAAAACTCAGTACTATCAGCAGTGTGATATGCGTTATCTTGTAGAAAATTTCGAAATAAGACTCAGAATAATTCCAGAATCACTACATTTTATTGCTGGTTTTCTTTCCTTTATAGTGCTACTATGCAGACCCTGTTTCTTCAGACGGTTTTGTTAAAACAGACCTCAGTTGTGTTTGTGAAAAGTGGGACTGCAGCCCCGGGGCAATGCAGTGAGATAGGGTAAGAGCAGACAGCGAAGACTGCAATCCCAAATAAGCCCTCTCCCTTCCTCTTAGCAAATGTAGCCAGATGCTAGCAAGCCATTATTGCCAGTCCATCTCAAAGAAAATCAGTTTTTGTTTCAGTTTGCTTTTGTTTCTCGCTCATTATTTATAACATTGCTTTGTCATTTTTGTCATTTATAGAGCTTCCAAGAGCAGCTGTCAGGATCTTAAGCAACATGACATTCCTTTTTGTGAGTTTGTCATACACAGCTGAGAGTGCCATTGTCACTGCTTTTATTACCTTCATTCCCAAGTTCATCGAGTCACAGTTTGGCATCCCAGCTTCCAATGCCAGCATCTACACTGGTAAGGCATTGCCACGTAGTGTAATGTTGAAAGGGTTGGCGTTCTTTGGCAAATGAAATGAATCAATACAGGAATGAACCAAAACCATGCTTGTTAGAACAGGTGATTGGATCCAGCTTTGTGCATTTGGTTAGATATTCAGGCCGTTTTTGATGTTTGCTATATGTGTTTAGTAAAATGTGAACCCATTTATATTGTCAAGGGGCTGGGGTTTTTTACATAAGCCTAGACAGACATTTTCTAGTATGTTAATGGTCTTCAAGGGGGAAAAAAGCAACAAAAACAAGCTAGAAAACCCATAGGCATTACTGTGGTTTGTGTGCCTTAAAAGATATTTTAAAGCTGTTCTTATTTTCTGTTAATTTTACTTTCTTTCTTACTGACTTTGTTACTTTGAACTTTAAAATATCCTAATCTTTCTTTTTTCCCCACTGATGAGTTGTTTATCTGTCCCATCCTTCAGTTACCTCTCCCCTCCAGGCTGGTAGTCTTCCGCCTATTTACTTATTAATGTTGAGCACACAACGATCTAGTCTAGCCAGGAGAGCTCCCCAAATCCTCTCCCACCTGCCACTGCAGGTGTGAGGTCCCTCTTTTGCAGGTGTGGCACTTCCCCTGCTGCCGTGGCAACGTGCAGCCAAGTCCAACTTCTAACAGAGCTACAAACCACAAAATTTTAAGCTTCATAGTGCTTTGTGGGAAGAACTTCCCTAGGGAAAGGGGCCAAAAATGTCATGCAGAATTGGGGCCCATGTCATGCAGATCATCTCCCTTCTCTCCTAGCTGCATCAAAGACACTTGTCTCAATACCTCTTTCTTCTTTTGCACTTATAAGCATCTTCTCTGCCTTCTCTATAGTGCTTCCCATATAGAATAGCTGCTAATTGCTAGACAGGTTAGTTCTTTGCTCCCTCATACTTCCAGATATTGTGCCTGAGAAGGAGTGATGGAGTGGGTAGTGAGTTGTGGGAACAGGGGTGAATTATGGGGTGAAAGTGCCCAGGGGCATCAGTCAAGGAAAAGACAAAAAGTGGTAGAAGAAAGAGAGACAAAGATGCAGAGACCTCACATGGGAATCATTTGTCACCTGCAGTGGCTGGAAGAAACTCAAGGAGTCTAGTCTAGAGTGCTGAGGGGAAGCATCAGAGAAGCACCATGAGGTGACTTCTGTTTGAGAGCTTGCTGGGATGAGATTTTCTTCAGGGCATGAAATCCCTGTGTTCTGTATATAAGGAGGAAACACTGATTGATGGGACCGTGATTCTATCTGAAGCTTAGTGTAGCTACACACGCATAGGAATTTTGCTGTAATGAGTCTTGATGGGATTGCTACTCCATAACTTGCTTCATTCTCAAGATAAACCAGAAACATTCTTGCCAGACAAAATATGTCCGACACACAAACCCCCCCCCAGCCAGTATATTAAAAGAGGAAAAAATGATATGACCCTATCCAGGGTGTGAAGCTATTAACATCTGTTGTTTTCCCTGTTATAAATAGCTTGATAAAGCCTATTATAATGAACCAGAAGAAGAAGATGAAATAACTCAGGCTGGATGTGCAACATGGACAAGTGAGCACTGCTTCCACAACCCCAGCTCCTAAACTTAGCATTAAAGTCAACAGTTGTTACTAATTTTATAAATTCTTTTTGTAGGAAAAATGGGAAAAGGAAACTTGGAGATTCTGTATTAGATTGCTCTGGCTAATCTAGTAAAAGACATGTCCAGTTTACAAACTTCCGGTTAGCAAAAGGTGCTCTTACATGTTATTTATATTACTACATCTATACTTCATATGTACATTGCCAGCTGAATACATGTGCTTGACGAATCTCTCCATGTGACTGATGTAAATTTTTTATTCGTCATTTTCCATCTCAGTTCCTAAGTAGCGATTCTTTAAATAAGTCTCAATTTGCTTCTAATTTGTTTCTATTTTTAAACAAAGCTGGCATTGATCATCAGCAAAAACGCCATGTGCCAAACTTTGTCTTGAACTTGTGCAGCTTGTGCTGCAGTCCTGTCTAGTTTGGAATTTTTTTCGTGTGCGGAGCAGGTGGCATTCAGCCTTCAGGTTTTCTCAAGTCCAAAAAAAATGGACTTTGACTCTAGGTTACAGATATTTCTTAGACAAATCCAGGTTAAACTTTCAGGTGCTTCGCTAGCGGATTTACTTGTTAGAGTTACAACTGAAATAATTTGTAATTGGAAGAACTGCACACTATATATTATAAAGCATTGCCCTGGTGACTTCTGCTAAAATGGTTGCAAACACGTTGGATCTACCTTTAGTTTTAGAAAAGGTGTAATATGTATCTCAGACAGAATTGGTTTGAAAATCTCAACGGTATTCCCTTAGTGTAACCCACTTAGCAGATATTGCAGTTTTCTGTTCCCAGACTATTAGTAGCTGTTAAGATCATCTTTTGCGGCTGTGAAAAGCCTCTAGTGCTGCAGCATCCTGACAACAGCAAAAAGGACAAAGCTTGAAAATTGCTGACTGAAAGCCGATATTGCCTTGGCGCACTGTACCCAGGAGTGTATTTGGCACACACACAATTCCTGTAAGCCAAACTGTCATTATAAAATGAAGGAGAGTGCAGTGCAATGGCTTAGTATCAGACCTTAAGCTTTATTCCTCTAAATGCTTTTGAAAAAGAAGAATGAATGTCCTGATTAGACGTACATGTTTTGCTTTGCCCTGGAAGCTCATCTGCAAGTGCACTGTAGTAGCTGTGTTTCTTTGACAGTACATCACTTCTGATTTCACATCCCCTGTGGAAAGAGAGGGGCATGAGGATGAAAAGTTTGTACTTGGGGCAAACAAACCTGTCAGGCTTCCTGACACGCAGGAGGGAATGAGCGCTTCTCTCTGCTGCCTTCACCAGAAACAGCGAAATCTGCTCCTGCCTTTCCAGTTCCTCCCAGGGAGAGAGTTTTTCCATCTCCATCTTCAGTTTGCATGGAGGAATTGGTCTTTATACTTCTTCTGTATGGGCTTTCCTTTACCTTTCCATCCTCCTGAATGAGAGCGAGCCTCGGCAGGCAATTTGCTCATGTTTGTCTCCTCATTTTTTATGTTCTGATCTTCATGGTGTGGCAGTGGAGGGATGAAAACAGCAGCGCAGTGTAACTCACTAATGGAAGAACCACTAACCTAATGCCTCGCAAAACATTTACATGCTCAGTTTTGACAAGGTACTAGATGTAGACACACACAGTCTCAGTTCTAGTGAAAGGCTTTTCCAATATACATGTCCTCAGGAGAATAAGAAAGACAAGGTAAATTCAGGTCCAAAAGAGGTTAAGACCTCAAAGCTAAGCTATAAGATGAAAGGAAGAAGAATACAGAGTTTAATTTATCATCAGTAAGCCCTTACCTTGGGCTAGATCCTTAGTTCACATAACTGATGTAGCCACAGATTTGGTCCACCTGACAGGGGTGTTTTAGAAGGCATTGCAAGTGATCCCAGTCTGCGTTCGGTGTGGATGTGGGCTTCTCTGACACAGATTTCGTAGAGCAGGGCATGCCTGGTAGACTCAGATGGCTGAGTTGCCATTTTCACCCAGAGAGAACATTTTGAGTGCAAGTGACAGGATTTGCATTCTTTCTTTCCCTCGTTCATATTCAGTCATTGAAAGTGAGAGATATAACAGCTCAAGAGAGATAACAGCTTTGAACTTTGTGAAAATCATTTAATTCTCCTAGAAGGACTTATACATTTAAATTCTGCTCTTATGAGAAAGACTGGTTTTGAGTCTGTGAAGGGTTATTATTAAGAATCTTCCTCATGAAATGACATTTATTTTATAATGCCATTTGTGATGGCAGTATAATTAAGGCGGCAACTATTTTTACCTCTTATTTTTACTTTCACGATCTCAACATTTTGATAAACATCATGTCCCCTTCACCTTTAGACAAATTAGCAGGGAATGAGAATGCTTTGCAATAATATTAAAGATATTTGCAAGTGATAGCATTACCGGCTTCTTTAAAAAGAAGACCAACATCTTTAAGAATTTGGATTATAAAGTTTAGCTCCTTCTCCCTAGATGCAGCTGCCAAAAGTTGTTCAAATTCCATATATATGTGGAATGCATCTTTATTAGCAAAGAACTTATTTAAAGACCTTCTCACATGTCAGTGAAAAGCAAAAGCCAAGGGAAGCTAAGAAGTGCAAGACATTCGCTGACAACACCACCTCAGGCCCTGGGAAGTGGGGACAGCCCGGTGACATGTTGCTGAACTGCCACCTTACAACTGCAGCAGCAGAGCGGCAGAAATTTCATAGGCATGTCTTTTGTGTCTTAAACTTATCGTAATACTAATTCTAGTATCTTAATTTCTTTCATCATGTTTGACCAGTTTGCGCTCCGCGTGGCTGAGATGAATGGTGCTGCCGATGTAGGACAGTGCTATTCAACTTGAGTAAAGTATCCAGCAGGCAGAATTTGCAGCCAGGCTCACGCGTGCACTCCCAGGTGGGCAGGCTTCTGGGGGCCTGCCTGGGATTAACACTTGCGCTTCCCTGGAATTAATCATGAGAGTAGGAAGAGGAAGATTCGTGTCCAAATCTGGATTTCTTCAGATTTTCAGTAATTAAACTGGAGCAATGTGTATCCCTTCTCCCCATTCTAAAATAAATACAAAGCAATGTTTCTGCTTGTAAGTACAATAGTTCTCTTATAGTGCTTTGGCTGCTGGTAATATCATAAGGAGGCTTTTATTAATTCTTTGACAACACTCCAAAGGTTTGAAAAGTCTGACTCAGTTTGCTAGCAGACAATGGAGATCTTAGTACAGCATTTGCAGTCATCTAATTAGGGAATCAAACCAATATTTATGTTTTATTCCATTTCTGTAGGTCCTGTTTTAATGTTGCTCAAATTTCTTCCCGGCAGGTGTGATTATTGTCCCGAGTGCTGGTGTTGGTATTGTCCTAGGCGGCTACATTATAAAAAAACTGAAACTCGGTGCAAGAGAGTCTGCAAAGTTGGCTATGATCTGCAGTGGTGTATCTCTGCTGTGCTTTTCAACTCTCTTCATTGTTGGATGTGAAAGCATTAATCTAGGGGGAATAAATATACCTTACACGACTGGGTAAGTATCTTGGAAACATCTGTGGCAAAACCAGCTTTTTCCAATAAGCCTGATAAAGAAATGTAAAAAATGCTGATGTACTGAAGAAGCCACATGTTCAAATGAGAATTCAATGAGTATTGTGATACTATGTGGCCCTTTGGTTTTTACATCTAGTTTATTATGAAGCTTATGTAATAACTCACCTTTTCAAGGGATAGGAAAATGCATTAGAATGGACTTCAGTGATTTTTACAGGAGATTGCTCAGAGTTTAGTTGGTGTTTCAAAATGTTTTCTTTTCTGCTCATGAAAATTGTGAAAACACTAAAAGCATTATAAAGATTATTTCTGAATAGGTTTGTTTATTCTCACCATAATAGTGTCTTGGGTCTACAGTCCCTATTTGAGAGGAATCACTTGGGCATGTGCTATCGACATTAGTGGTGTGCGCTGCTTCTGAACCCCTTACTAGTTGTATGAATGCCCTCCAGCGCTTGCTGGATCATCATCAAGACAGTGACCAGAGCATAATCCTTAAATAGATATTGAGAATGAAGAAGGCTGTCATGAAAAAGAAGGTGTGGATGTAGGAAGGTATTGGGAGTGAGGGATTTAGGCTGTGACATTAAGAAATGCATGGAAGGGCATTTTTAAAAAATGAGGGATATTTGGAAGGAAGACAGTGTGGTAAAAGTTGTGAGAAGGCGTTTCACTGGAAGGTAATTCCTCAGAAGCCTGATCGTGAGCTTTTATTTTCGTTCTTATTTTGTACATTAGCTTTTCCCCAAAATTGCCTTCTTCATGTAGCTTAAACACAAGAACAGACTAAGCGTTTGAAGAGCACGAACTTATCTGAAGCAATGTTTTTCCCTTTGCTTTTACATCTGAGACAACGTCTGCCTTTTATTTATGGCCAGGTGCTGGGTATCAGATCCATTTGCATATCTTGCTTTTAAGGCTCAGCTCTGGACTCTTAACATTTTGAGGTTTGGAAGACAGTGTAGAAGAAGTGCGGAGCAGGAAAAGAGATGATCAAATGGGGAAAAAAAGAACTACAGTGGGGCAGTGAGCAAGTGTTGTGGTTTAACCCGGCACCGAAACCAGGACAGCAAGCCAAGTGAAAAACAAAGAGGAAAAATGGGAAGCAAGGGAGGAAGAAAATAGGCGCTGTTTACACAGAGAATATTTTGCATTGCGTGTTGCTGGGTGTTACTACATTGCTGTCAAACCCTAATCCTAGAGCAAGAAAAAACAGCAACTGAAAGTCACGAGCTGATGGAAAGCTGGTTTACTCCTTTGTATTCTTAATACCTGGAGTTAAAGCTTGGTGCTGAGGGACTGACTGCAGAGGGGAGTAGCATGGTGATATATCCTTGTCTGAGCATAGTGGACTGAAGGAGAGAACAGGGGTGGGAAGGAGGTGGAATGCTTTGATTGTCCACCTTCTATTGATGTTTGTGACAGCCTGTGGGCGTAGATGAAGAAATGAAAATTATTAGGAATTAAAACATAAATTTCAGATAGCAATTAATTGAACTGTGTGGCAAGTCAGAATGTCCCTGCCTGGCTAATGAGAAGGCTGCAGTTTTCTGTTGGTGAAAAAGTGCTATTTAATTTAAATCTATTTCTAAATTGAAGACAAGGCAAACTATTGCTATGTAACACATAACCTTCACACTGGACTTGTACGAGTAACTAATTTTTTTTTGCAGTAAGTAATAACATTTGCAGTAAATACATAGCATGAATTGAAATAGGCATCTATTCACAGCTGTTCTGAAAGTCTGCAGTAGCATTACTTCTTTACCACCTTCATCTAATTGTTCTTATTGAGCAAAGCGGTGAGAGATGGTAATGGCAAAATTCTCAAAAATATTGATGTATATCAACTCTTTGAAATCAGTATAAAAATCAGCATGCTTGGACTGTAATGTCAATAGAAATTGAGAATTACCAGCATGTTATAAAGCACGGTTCAGGAGTTTGCAGCCCCAGCCCTATATGATTTTTTTAATACAGAGTTCAAATCCAAATTTATTATCAAAATGATAATAAAGAAGCAGCACTACACATAAATTCTTCTTGAATATCTGACATGATAAACATTCTCTTAATCCTCATGGTCAATCATTTGATAGCTTCAAATCATTTACTTGGTAGGCAACTCTTTAACTCAGACATCAAAGAATGTTATTGTTCATGTAACAAAAAAGCATGCTTTCATTTTGGAGTTTAATAAAACACATACTTCATTCTCTAATTCCAATGCAGTGCAGCGTTATGGACATCAAAGCCAGTTCAACAGGCTAGATCGGATAGGAGAAACAGTACTTGGTTCAGAGTAAATGTCTTTCATGATGCTCTACCTTAACATGGCTATGCTGGGTCTGATGTCTGAGCTACCTGTGCTGGCAGCAGCCCAGAAATCTCAGCTGCATTGGGCAGTGTAGACATGCCCTGCAGGAGAATCTTCTCTGGACAAACATGTTCAGTTCTACCGTTCTTTTCTTTTACATTTCAAAAGTAGGTTTTTTTCTTTGATGAACTGAGCTGTCGTAGACTAGTACAGAGAAGGATAAGCTGGGTTTTAGTTAATGTGGGAGTATGTGCATACCAGTACTCAGCAAAGTAGGCAACGGTATTTCATAATTCAGTGTGTTTCATAACTCACTATTTTTCTAACTGTACCAGCTGTGAGGAAGTGGATGGGACCTGGAGGCATGCACAGATTAGAATACATTTGCAAGGATTTTCTGCTGTTTTATGTTGGGCACAAGCAGTTTTGCTGTTGTTGGTGTGTCATCAGCAGTTCTGTTATCAGGAAGGTCAAGGACACCTCTGTATTATACATCTCAGCATTTTAGAACCTGTTGTTCTGTGCCCCAGCCTTGTTTGATATTTGAACACAGTGTAAGCAGCCTTATGTCAAACCGCAATACGGCATCCCTTCTCTTGCACCGTAACCAGCATCCGAATGGGAAGTCCTGAATCAGTGAATTGTCTCCTTGTCCAGGCAGCTTTTGAAGATCTCCAAGGAGAGAGACTCCACAGTCTCCCTGGGCAACCTGTGCCACTGCTCAGTCACCCTCACACTGAAAAAGTGTTTCCTGATGTTCAGAGGGAACCTCCTCTGTTTCTGTTCACTGGAAAAGAGTTTTCTATATCACTGGAAAGAGGCTGGCTCTGTCCTCTTTGTACCCTCCCTTCAGTTATTTATCTACATTGATGAGATCTCCTGAGCCTGCTCTTCTCCAGGTTGAACAGTCCCAGCTCTCTCAGCCTTTCCGCACAGGAGAGATGCTCCAGTCCCTTCATCACCTTAGTTGCCCTTCGCTGGGCTCTCTCTCTGGCATGTCCGTGTCTCTCTTGTACTGGGGAGCCCAGAACTGGACCCAGTACTCCAGGTGTGGCCTCACCAGTGCTGAATAAAGGGGAAATAGCAGAGAACAGCTGGTTTGGTTGTTTGTAGACCCGTCTCTTCCACGTTTTGTGGTATAAGGCAAATAAAACAGGCTCCACAGGAGCTTACTCATAGTGACAGATTCCTGGATTAGATCAGTTCCATCTCTCATATTTCTGGCATGTAATGAATCAAAACAGGTCCTTTCTGATTGCTTTCTGTTGTTTTGGTGTAATTCAGGTTTAGTTAAAACATGCAATTGACTTACTGAGGCACTTCACATAAAAAAAAAAAAATCTCCTATTCTTCCTCTTGTACCACCAGTTTGGGTTTCTGTTATTCTTGTCTCTCTTTCAGTCCAATTAGCCAGTCGGATCTCTTAACTTGAAAGCAGTGACTAATTGGATCAGAACAATAATAACAAAGAAGGAATCCAGCTAACACAGTGAGAGGGTCCCTTGTTTGACAGCTACACAAAAATTGCGTCATTGCTGCGATTCCAGCTGCTCGCCAACAAGGAGACTGCAGATCTCTACCATCCAGAATATCCTTCAATACCAAACCAAAAATATTGCTATCAAACTAAGATAATCCTTTTTGTTATATAGCCCAATATTAAGATTATAGAAACTGTGTGGTGAGGGGTTATCTCCTTTCCTTTGCATTTCCTTCATCCTGTAGGTTACTACAGCAATCTAAATAAATATGAATAAAACCATGTGCAAACCAATTCTTTGTTTAGATGTTAACAAAATATAGTCAGGCACTGGTTTTTTGGTTTTTTTAAACTGCATTTCATTTAGATTGTAGCCTCATGGGAAGAGGGTCCACCTTTTTTTTTCAATATGTGTGCATTGACTGCCAGCACAATGAGGTTTCAGTCTGAGCCTGGGTATCTGAAATAACAAGTCACAGCTCTAAAAACTCCAGGCAATAAATCTTGCCTTATACTTCCCCTTTTCTTACTTTACTGCTATACCACAAGCCTTCCACAGAGTAATAGTTGGAGAGGAGAACAGGATTTAGAAAAAAAAAAAGTTAGGAACTAGAGTTCCTTTTATTGTTAGTGACGTCTAATAAAGGTCTCCTCTTTATTAGCTTTACCAGCATCATGTCATGGAGACACAGAACAGTCTTGCTGAGAAATGAACAAATGCAATTTGTCAGTTGGGATTCTGGGTTTTGTCCCAGCACACGTTTAACAAACTTGCAGTTGAATCTTACTAAGGAAAGGAGCAGCGTCATTGCTTGTAATTGAAAGAATAGTTCAGGAAACGCTGTTGTTTGGGGCTGGTTTCTGTTAGTGTGCTCGTGCATGACAGGTGTCCTTGGAAGCTCAGGTGCAGCAGCACTGCAAGTTGTCAGCATCTGCATCCGCTGAAACAATTGGGGCAGCTGTTTCTCAGACATCCTGTGTGTCTACAGCAGTGGATGCGTTGAAACTAAGCTGCTTTTCCCACAGGCCAGCTCATGACCAGGACTTAGTAGCTTCGGTGCAATTTCTGTAAGAGCCTGCTCTTTCTGACCGATGCAGGTAAACCTGCGACGTGCTGTGCAGTAATTCAGGGATCAATGCTCTGTTTTCCTTTGTGGAGAGTAGGCAGCTTCCCAGTGCCAGG